CCTTGCTACTAGGAGCAAGGACGCTACAAGGGGCTCCTGGCCTTACTGCCTTACTACTAGGAGCAAGGACGCTACAAGGGGCTCCTGGCCTTACTACTAGGAGCAAGGACGCTACAAGGGGCTCCTGGCCTTACTACTAGGAGCGAGGACGCTACAAGGGGCAAGGACGCTACATCTGGCCTTACTACTAGGAGCACGGACGCTACATCCTGGCCTTACTACAAGGAGCAAGGACGCTACAAGGGGCTCCTGGCCTTACTACTAGGAGCAAGGACGCTACAAGGGGCTCCTGGCCTTGCTACTAGGAGCAAGGACGCTACAAGGGGCTCCTGGCCTTACTACTAGGAGCAAGGACGCTACAAGGGGCTCCTGGCCTTACTACTAGGAGCAAGGACGCTACAAGTGGCTCCTGGCCTTAATCATGTTTGCATGAAATTGTGTAAAATGCACCTCTCTGGTGTTGGGCTGCGAGTTTGTGGCTGCTTGATGGTCTGTCATGTCTGGTAAGTGAAGCTTATGCTAAGCTTTAAAGAGCTTAAGTAACCATCGCTTGCGCAAATATGCCTCGAACAATGACTTTGTTATCTGGCAGTCAGCTCGAAACCAACTCAATATATTTAATAGTGCAAGTAAGCTTCATGACAAATATATATATATATATATCAAGGCAAGCTTATCCACCCCAGCTCTTGCAGGCGCACGAATACACATTCTGTATGTCCAAGTTCTTGGGAGGGGGGGTTAGAGCGCTGCTGGCATGTCTAAACAAAGCAACCAGCCTCTCAAAAACACAACATGGCCGCCACAAGCAAGTGGCGTTGTGGTATGTTGAGATGTCAGTCTAGCACTGCTGCATTGTCATAAAGCATGCTCAAAATGTAAGAGCCCGGCGATGACACACAGTAAATGCCAAACTGCCACCAACCTCACTAATGAGCCTTGCGACAGGGCCAAACCGCATGCTAAACCTCCAGGATTTTCAAGATTTCTCGTGGTCTTCATGGTAGCTGTTATTCTTCAACTATATATATAGATATATAATTCATTTTCACCAGGATATGTTTGAACTTGGACTTTGATTGTCTGGTGAGAACTCAAAGTGTGCTGGTTCTCCTGGTCCAACAGCAGTTCAAAACTGAAGCAGCAACACCATTGCAGGCTACAGGCCAGCACAAACATCATTCCTAGACTCGAAACGTACAGATTGGTGGAAGTTTCTGGAGGTGCATGCAGTGGTCAACGGTTGAGGATATCCTTCCATTCTGTGTGCTGTACTTCTGCAATCGTGCGCACCTTGGAATCAAGGTCTTGCAGTGTGGCATGGGGCGCAAGACCTGCGAAAAGAAAGAAGGTTCAGGCTCTTGTTCCAAACTGAGTCTATTGTGGTTTATTGGGCTGTCGGCTACATGCAAGGACTCAGGTCTAGGACTTTCCAAAAGACAAAGACCCGTTCTGTCGAGGTTCTTTCTGCCGAAAAAGACTCTGCTAGCTTTCCAGTCAAATGTATTTTAAATAGAAAAAAGGATTAAAAAGCTCTAAAGAAAAGGAAGAACCGAACAAAAACATACAAATAAAATCAAAGTGTTACAAAATTAGAACACAATGAATAGAAGGTGCTACAGTAAATTTTGGATCTAAGAATCAATGTGCAGAAGCCTGAGCTCTTCTGCGTCCAAGCCTAGTAACTACCCAAGCTACTACAAGCTTACTGGCCAAAAGAAAGCAATCCAACCAAGAAGCGATGGCCTCCACCCTACTAGCTATGGCCTCCAACCTAAGAGCGATGGCCTTTGGTTTCTACTGTATGGGGTGGTGACGTCCAAAATGTCCAAAGCATGCCTCAAAGTTGCCATGGCAATAGTCTCGAAAGCGAGCTGCACCAGGCCATTGGAGACCCTGCAGAAGAAGCACAAAAATATCTAAAACATGCTAAAACTAAAATATCGCAAGTGAAGCAGAATCACATAGAACCCGTTCAATCACATGTGTAAAGCGGTCACGAGAAACACAGCGCTGATACAAAAGAGACGCGACATCCGTGGTCAATTGTCTCACGGTGCCAGTGCCAACAGCCAGTCCTCTTGCAATAGCTCAGCAACAAAGCCACGCAAAGGTCTTTGTGCCGTACCAATCCGGGTCGGCTGTCCAGCCTGGTCAGGGTAAGCAACGAAGTAAACGAGCCGAGCGATGCAAAGCGCACAGGTTGAAGTAGGGGACATACTAGGACATAAAAGTCATAAGTATTGTGCTCACGGCCGATCAAGCAAGGCGATGCCTTTCCTTCCTGCGAAACCCTTCTCTCCATGTCTACACGCGTTTGACTTTATGCTTATCCCAAAGATACAAATTAAGCGATGGCAAGTCCACTCAAAAACAAGGAAGTATCATCTGCCTCCAGACTTTGAAGGAGAGGAAATGCATCACACCAGTGCAGCTCTTCGACTTCCAAATGAGGAGGAGGGGTTCTCTGTGAACATCCATGTGCAACTGTTGCAGTTGCAATCACCAATGCGCGGCTGCGTCGATTAAGGAAGCTTCTCTGAACAGCCCGCTGCTCCTGCTTTTTCAAAGATCCGAGGCTCACAAGACGAAGCACCTGTAGGCCCTCACCATTTGGTCCCTTGTGCCAAGGTGAGCAGCATACTGGTGCTGAATAAATGTCAGATTGAAGGCAGGATCGCAGCTCAGCTTCACCGCCCAAGACGTCAAGAGTTTCTTCCGTGGCCTCTCTCGCCATAGCAGAGGGAAAGTCCGCATCTGTGGGTTCAACGAACCCCCAAAATGGGCCTGCTTGTTTCTGTGGCCACCAGGGTCGGTCTTCAATTCCCAGGAGCACCCGAGCGCCCGCTTCGCCATCTTCACAGGCAACTAAGACTCCTGCTGCGAGGTTTGCATCCTCTCCCCACCACTTTGGAGCCTGGAGAAAGCACAGAAGTTGGCGGGACCAACAAGAAACTACCGAGACGAATCTGGTTCGGCAAAGCTTTTGGTTCACGAAGTCAACTGCCCAGCCTTCCGCACCTGTCCGTAGGTACCGCCATCAAGGATGACACTCATTGTGCTGAGTTGCACCTCCAAGCCAAGGGATGGTACTGAAAGGCTAGCGGGCCTCGCATCAGCTGCGGCATGTTCAGCTTTGTCTTCTGCCGCAGTCAATGCATCACATGCTTCTGGTGGCAGCCACTGCCAACGCTCCTCTGAGGAAAGCCGATACTGCCACCGGCAGGCCATTCTGACAGTTTCAATGTCCAATCATGGCACGGCCCGGTGTCAGGATTCATGATCGAATTTTTAGGGCATGGTCAATGGTGTAGCAGTGCTGCCACAACCAATTTTGGCACGTGGCATACTGTATGTCTGAAGCTATAACAAATGCATAGTATATATATATACAAAGAGAGAGAGAGAGTTATATGCAATTACAGTTATATAATTTTAATATATGCATGATTAATCATGATTTTACGTATATAAGTGATTGTATCAGTGGCCAAAACAAGTCTGTTTGAGAGCACCAAGCGCCAAGCACTGTGACGCGGACAGCAAGCATTTGAACATATATATATATTATACTATATTATATTCAAACCAACGCAATGATCAACAGAACATCAATTTCTCAATCACCATTCCACCAGCACAAACGACGCAGGTAAGCATCATATACGGTCGCCTTACTGCCCTCGTCCAGCTCAGCCAAACGAAGAAGCTTCAGTTGGGTTCTCTTTGCCCTGTCCAAATCTCTCAACCACTCAACTATCAGCTACTAATGCCCTTGTTACTAGTAGCGATGGCCTCCAACCTACTAGCGATGGCCTCCACCGTAGTAGCTTCTAGCTACTGGTAGCTTCTTGTTGATAGCCATCTAGAAAACTCTCGAAAGTAAAGCCGATAAAGTACCGGCCCTACGAAGCATGGCAGCGATGGCCATAATGCTGAGGTCGTGACACATGTTCTTCGCCGTCTCCATCCCACGAAACTAGAAATGTCCCATCTCCGTGGTCCTTCTTTTGCCGGACACCAGTTCAGTCAACATTGCAATTTCAATGTGAGCAGTATTTTGATATTGACACCTTCTGAACGGTGGCTTCGTAGTAGTCTTGGTCATCCTCATAGAAGGCCTGTCCATAGCCAATGTTTCAACAGAAAAAAGAAGAGTGCACACATGACAATCCCGGTTTCCCTGGTACAGTATTCTACAGTTTGCTCATGGAGTTATCCACTACTTGAGCAAGTCAGTCAGCTTCGCGAATGCTTAGGTGCCGCTCATTTTCTCTCGCATCATCATGTGCATTTGGCAACGCTCCCGTCTTGAGAGTCCAGCCCTCAAGTCGGAGGTCAAAGGGATTGAAGATGAGTTCAGTAGCCTGAAGTAGCCATCTGGTCAACTAGGGAGCAGTTTCCTACCGTTCTGTGCCTTTGATTGTCGGCAGGTAATTAAAACTGCGCCCTCGACCACAAGATGAGCCATGAGCTCTCTAGCAGCAGCCGCTTGCCTTCTTCTTCTTGGACTTCTTGGACTTTGAAGACTTTGCAAGCTTCCCTTCCGGAATTGATGCTCCAGTCTTCATTCCCGAACCGGTGACTACAAAGCTCTCACGTGCCAAGTCGGACATGGCATGTGTCTCTTGAGGGGCTGTGTGACCTTCAGGATGTGCAGTGACCATGAAGCCGGGTGGCAAGGCCTCACCAGGAGCAAACCACTTTCCCTGGGAATGGTCCAAGGCACTTGGCAATCCATAGGGAGATGTGGTGTAGACACTTGGGGGCACCGCCTGAACTGATGAGGCTCCCACGGGAATTGAGTATGGAGAGGACGAATACATCATTTGAGGCGTGCCTTGCATGGTGCTCACATATGCTCCCGGATCCACGGTGTACGCTGGCATGGCATCTCCATAAGCCACTTGGGTCCCCTGAGGCATGATGTAGGTTGGCTCTGTGGGGTAAGCAGCCATGGCCACAACTCGAGCAGAATCAGACTTTGGTCACCTAGACTTAGACGGCTTGAGCAGACTCTAAAGCAGCAAGAAATTGTTGAACGATGTGCTGCAGTCCAACTGCCATGTGTACTTCAAGCATCCAATATTTCTTCGTGACCAATACGTTTTAAGCAGAGAAACTGCTGAAGCACCTGAACTTTGTCTCCTTCTTTGAAGACATGCTCTTCGCCCTCGTAGGTGAACCATGGTTTCAGGAGACCTAGAGGAGAATTACTTTTTTGATTGTTGCAGACATCTTGTTTCTCAACCACTACTCACTACTCAACTCTCTAGTTTGGAATGTTTTATCGCCAAAATTGCCAACAACTCAGTCCACGTCCGTCACGTTCGGCTCCAATGTTCACAAAGGTGCCGAAACTAAATGTCCTGGAGCTGCGCCAAAAGGCACGTCAGAACAGTCAGAGAAACATGACAAAAGAACACACACACACACAAATGGCCTCCAACCTACTAGCGATGGCCTCCAATCTAGATGTTGCTTTCTTGAAGTTCAAGTATAGTGACTTTAGTGTGTTGTCTGTTTCTGCAAATTTCTCGGCCATGCAATGCAAATCATTTGCAAATCACACACAAAGGGATATGACCGCCTCTGATGCTACCCCTGATACTTGCGAAAGGTCGCATGCTCGACCTGTGCAGCCTTGCTAGAATCTTGCATGATCTTCATGTGCAGGCATCGCTGCTAGTAGCGTCCTCCTAGTAGTAAGGCCAGGACCTAGTAGCGTCCTTGCTCCTAGTAGTAAGGCCAGGAGCCCCTAGTA